AGGGTTGGGGTGCGCGGACGGACACCTCGCCGCGCCGGCTGCCCATGCTGTGGACGGCCGGGGCTGGGAACAACTTGAACTCTAGCCTGACTTGGAGAAGTGCGGGCTGGGGTTGCTATGGTTTTCTGAGCCGAGCAGGGGAAGCCAGAGGCTCAGTGGGTGCTTGGAGGGGTACCACGAAGTAGATAAAGTGGGGACCCGACAGACAGGGCCTGATTCGTGTGTACTGCTCGCTGGGCTTTGGGGGCAGATAAGGAACTCAGAATCAGGCATGGCATTTCTTTTTCCTACTTTATGTCTCCAAGACGCTCCTTGCTAGAAGAAATTGCCTTCCCATAAAGTTCACTGAAATGAGCTATTTTTCTTTTTTAACTTCTAAAGATCAACAATGCATAAAACATTACCATGACAGGATTCGAAGTATAAGGAGGTGTTAAAAACTAAGTAAACATTTCTTGGGCATTTGGACTTCATTTTCTTCACTTGGGTGACTTTTAAGTGGCGTGTTTTTCCTCTGGTGAGAGTCAGTTTAAACTCATTTTGTCCTAAAAAGAGGAACATCCTTCTTTCCCTAAACTACAAAATGATTAAAATTAGAATTTTAGAGAGGTACAATCATGAATCTGGGAGCTGAAGATGAGATAATTTCCTCCAAAATATTTTTCACTCAGTGATTCTCGCATCTCTTTAGAGATGAGTATGTTTTTGAAACATACCATTATCAGAAATGAAAAAAACAGTTACATGAAAAATTCAAAGTGAAATAACATGCCTCCTTTTTCTGTAAGGTCATTATTTTTGCTTAATATAACTGCACAGACAGATACGTGATTTCTTTCTATAACACATTTATTCCAGAAGTATTTGGGTAGCGTGTCTCATACACTATGAATAGAAAAGCAGTAAATTCTTTTGCAATAGAGAAACTAGTCAGGTGAAAGAGTAGTGAAAATACAGCTTCAGAATGAGGCAAACAATATATTCCCTAAAGGAGGGAGAAGACAATGAACCTTATATGCATAGTTATTCACGTGTTTTCATCAATTTAAATGAGTTGGAGAGAACAGATTTATATATTACCCTGCATGCAGGGGAAAATTAACATCAAAATCTTCAGTAAATCTCAGTCTGCTGCTAATGACCACCTGCATATTTCCACTCTGGAGTTATTTAATACTGTCCACCACCGATTTCCCCTGTAAAAAGTATTCCTGTATTAAATATAGACCTTTTATTTTCTTTTTTAAGGCATAAATTAACTCGCAGACTTTTGTGGAAATGTGCACGGCACAGCAAGAAGCATTTTTATTCAGAAAAATAATAAGGCTCAGAATGAATCATTCCTTAGCCATGATTCACTGAAAATATTAGGTCAAATAAATGCTGAAATATGTACCCAAATAGTCAGATTGTATTTAAAGGGTTAATACCACCTAAAACTTCTGAAGCTGGTATCTGACTGATAAAATCTGCTGCTATAGCACCTTAGCAAAGTTAAATAGTACCATTTATCACGAGGATTAGTCCCCTAATCTCCTGCTGCTCCCCAAGATTTAAATGACATTTTAAAAGGGGAAGTGATCTCCCTACTGGTCACCCTCAAGTCCAGGGCAATTGTCAAGAGTGTAAATTTACTCACATGAAATAATCACTGATTAAATTGGTTCAAAAAAATTAAATTACATGCTTTTGCAAGCACAAAACCCTTGAGAGGGGCTGGTGTTTTTCCACCTGTAATAATACAAAATCTGACCATTAAGGGTACCCAAAATTATATGTTATATGAAAAATGAAAGCCAAAGGTCTAAGGGTAAATTATGTCCTTTAATTGAAAGGATAAAGTTACACTTCAGGTACCGAAGCCAACAAATTCATGCTCACTTAAAAATTTAATGAATGAAGTTTCACGGGCTCAATTTTGCTGAAGTTTGCCTGAGAAATGAGAATGTCTGCATGTTAGTTCTACATTTCAAGTCAGGAGAGAGCAGATCACGAGCCTGTCTGTATCAATCCATTTACATTAACCACAAAAGATCTGTAGAGAACTTAATAAAAGCACAAATATTTTTGCAAACTTTTTCAAGCAAATTGCTTATTTATTTATGAAATAATTTATGAAGAAAAATTTTGCCACATGCTTTAGATGTATTACATATGCTCCTGATTGCCACAGCATGTGGAAGTACGGGGCCTGCAGAGCATTTTTTAACTCTAGTAGGAATATTTCAAAACAAGCAACTAATACATGAGGTCATAATTGCTTGACAGTTGTTTTTAATATATAAAATAAGTTATGTATATTGTTTTCCTTCAAATGTTTGTTGATTTGTTTCTCTAGTCCTGACATTTGCGTGACACAAACCGAATTAAGGGAAATATTAAAGATGTATTTACATTTATTATCTTTGGCTATCAAACCTATGCAAAGCTCTTAAGACCATTAGCTTCTTTTGCTTTTTTTGAAAAGCAAAACAGTTCTGAACAATGGAGCCTGGGTGTTTAAATGAAAACCCCAGCTTTTAAAGGATGCAGCAGAAAATAAAGAAATTAGAAAAGATTTTTTTTAAAAAAAAAGCAAAGAAAAGAAGCACCTTCACCCTAAATAACTTTGCAATCTCTCACAGTGTCCAGATTCTGGGATATTCTCTTATGACTGCACGACAGATGAGGTAGTTCTTCAAGCTGTTTTAGTGCTTATTATTTACAAGCTTGACATAATATACTCTTTCGGTTTTATTATTTAAACATTCTTTCTTCCCCCTTTCCTTGTAGTTTATTCAGTGAAGATACAGAGAGGGATTAGCTGTTAAGCACAGGCATACTTGTTTTACATTTTCAGCCTTTTACCACAGAATTGACTTCAAGTTCCAGTGCCTGTAATCACAATGATTTTACCTGATG